TACTGTAGTAAAAACCTGATTCATTTTTATTCACTTATGAATAACGATAGCTGAAAATATAAAAAAAATAAATTTTTTATTTTATCTTAAAACTATATCAATATGGATGTCTATTTGTAGAGAATAAAAAATTTATGAATTTTGGTATATTTAAAATCATTTTTCGATAAAAATAGCTTCTTAAAAATTGAAAAAAAAAACGAAAAAACTATGTTTTTCTATATATATTAAGGAAACATGTTTTGTTGGAAAACACATGTGCATTCCTTTCCCATTTCCGCCGGTACGTTGGAGGCTTTTGCGGCAAAAATAAATGATAGGCTGAGAATGATTCCCTCATACTCAACCTTTTTTTTTTCTCAATTGAACCCTCCTCTCTCTCATATATTATATCTATATATATATATATATATATATATATATATATATATATATATATATATATATATATATAATGAAAATGGGTGGTTATTTTATATTAAAAAGTTTATTCATAGGTAATAGTTATCACTAATGACTGACTATACATATCTTAAATAATTGAAGCAGGGAAGTAAAGATAACAAATCATTATGTATGAGGTCCTAAACCTATTTTTTATGGATATGAGTTATACAACAATGATTTACGGGTTGGATATAGTGAAAGTTGGTGTAGACCCGGATGATCTTAAATGAACGAAGAAAGAAAAATGAGTCAATAAAGAGAACATGCATGAACAAGAAGCAAATTAAGATGAACTATAAAGGGCGGACATGGTGAGAATGGTTGTTAGATGGTGGTATATTCAGGGGCGGTTTTAGTAGGTGTTTCGGTGTGGCACCGACAACACCTATTTTTTCTGTCCACGGTGAAAAAAAATTCGATTTTTCGATTTTTTTACCTATTTTTCCTGCATCGGCAATACCTATTTCAACTTCGACAACATCTACTATGTATTCCTGCGTCTGGCATGACATATTAGTTTTCAATGGTTTGTTGACTTGTTACCATTTAAAAAAAAACTCTGTTATTTTTATTGTTTTTGTTTTATCGAAGTTGCTACATTATATAAATTTTATTATGTACCATGTTGTTCTGTTTATGATCCAAATCTTTTTCTATACGAACTCAATATTATCCAAATTTCGCTTTATGATCCATATTTTAATGAACATGAGAATATTACTCTCCATATATACCATACCAAATACGTAGGAGAGAAGATCTATAAATAATAAAATTAATTACATATACACCCGTATACCAATGGAGATATACAACTGACTACTAATAGAATAACACATGTACAAATATAAATACGAATAATAAATCTGTCTAATAGCAAAAATAAACCATGATCCAACTCTTGTTGTTATCCAACTTATTATTTCATTTAACGTATGTTATGTGTCTTTTTACCAGGATTTTAAATTGAAAACTGATTTTCTTTTCAAAAGATATCGTGATGCTATGTCATCCATTGAGTATTATGTAGAAAGGGAAGATGGAGGAATGTAGTATGTTGGTGAAGAGACCCTATATGCATGTAAACAAAGATCATCTATCAAAGGTTTCTTTTACAACTCCTAACAAGCCAATACCACTAAATTCAATTTGATTTTTCGATTTCTTGTAGCTTATAAACCCAAATTGTCAAATTAAAGATTTCTATATTGTTCTTTGCTTTTGCGATTTCTTGTAGCTTGTGAACGATATTGGCATATTGCTTTTCTCTATTGGCCAATTGAAGACTTTCAACCAGTACTTTTAAATTCGATCTGAATGGGAAATTTCTGCAGGGTTATCCCCATCAACATCTCTTTTGACATTGTGCAAACGTGAAATGAAGTTTGGCCTAAGGAAGTTTAATATGGAAGAGACCAAAATTAATATGATTATAGCAACATACTTTCATTTATTTGTGTATTGTAGCATCTTAGTTACAAAACTTTCTATCATATCATTTAAGTTTGATAAAAAAAAAATAAAAAAAAATAAAAAAAAAGTTATAAGACATTGCCCTTTTTTTAAAAAAAACTACCAAATTATAACAGTTTGCTTTTAATTCTTTGTTATTACTAAGTTGTAATTTAACAAATATACCTAATTATAGCGATTACTGTGTCAACTCCATGAACACAAATTTTTATCTTCCTTTCTGAATTTTGTAATGTATAAAATCAAATTTTAATTGACTTCTGAGTAATCAGTTGCTTCTTCATAATTCGATCCAAATGGAAAAACAAACATATCAAATAAAAGGTACTCTAATCAATAATCATGGGTTGTTCTTTTTTACTCTATCAGATAACATAAATTATTTTATCCAATTATATTTTATTGATTTTTTAATAGCTTTTTATTTTTTTAATTTCGTTCTACCATATATTACATTATTGGCATTAAATGTTATAAAAACTATACCCAACATTGAGATCGTATTTAATACATTAGCATTTTATGAGATTTAGTAGGAAAACGTGAAAAACCATTGCAAATGAAAAGATAAACATTTAAACCGGAAGCCTTAAATATTTCATATTAAATCACAATTTTATAAGAAACCCAAAATTTGGGAAAAATGAAGCTAGAAAATTTTTGTTGTTGTCTCCCGGGGTTAGGACGGTCAATTTGATGCATAGTTTCAAATAAAAAAGATACCAAAACCGGATCAACTTATTTTTAAATTAACCAAAGTTTGACAAATACATATTCTATGTGTTGGGTTGATTAATTTCTTCCATCACCATTCACTCATAGGAATAGTAAAATCAACCAAGCATCGAATCCAAATGATTCCAACAGAATTGAATCTCATCCATTTGACAACCAAACACACTACATGATGAAATCTAACTCCATCCCGTTGGAACCACTAACCAAACACACCCCAAAAGATTTTGATCGTTGTGATGAATGGCGATAGATAATCCACATGCTATGTTCCCATGTCAAACGACGTTGCTTTGAAAGTAGATGTGCACAAAAAACCAGTTTGAAAACCGAAACCATCCGATTTAAGAATTGAATTGAAGTTGAACCGACGGTTTATACTGGTTTGAGGATTTTACTATTGGAATCAATTTGCGTGAAGCCGATTTTCAAATCTATAAATTGTTTCCATCGATTATATCTTTAATTTGTTGTAATACAGGGTTCTAGAGGTTTCCTAAGGGTGCACAGTGTCGCTTCATGATGCTCAAGAAACGGCTTCGGGTAGGGGTAATCCTATTGGGGAACACGAGGTCGTGGTCTAGAAAAGAAGAGAGAAGATTTCGCGTAAAGCTTCCTGAGCTTCCGATCATGCTTGTCTTCTTCATTTTGTACATTGTCATTTATTTGCAAAAGTTGATGTGGGTCATGGGACATGAACAAATAATTATATTTATGTTAATTTATTATTGAATAACTATTAATTTTTAATAGTTAACATATTTGTTAAAATTATAAATAAGTTGTTGACGAGGCAATGAAGATCATTTTTGGAAAAAAGTTGATATTGCACTGATATAAAGATGATTTTAAAAACTAATTTGACTCATTTGAAAGGCCTACGTTGGTGTGAATTGTATAATAATAAAAACTAAGAGACATTTACAAATATAGTCAAATATCGACTTTTTAAAAAATAGCAAAAGGTTAACATCTTTCAAAAAATATCTACTCATTTCATAGACGATTACCGCTAGCTATGAAATTTGCCTCTCCAGTTGCGATTTCATACCTTCCCGACGGCGAACTCATGTAAAAGGATGCGATTTCTGCGCAATAAAAACCAATTTTATTTTTTTATTTTTTTATTTTTAGATCGTAGATAGCTAAAAGCCACCTGTGACTTCCTCTTATGTGACCTGCGATTTCCTTTCGCTTTTAGTAATAGAATATTAACTTTTTTTTATAATCCCAATAAAATCTTGTAAGTTTGACTATGATTTCGTGCAATTTTCACTAATTTATATATAAAATATTCTATAAAAAAAAATTAGTCTCCTATTTTTGTAGCTCCAGGTGTTTGAAGGTGAGCGTACTCGGTTTGCTGTGGGAAAGAATTAATACATATAACAATAACATTCTAAAAAATATAAAGAAAAAATTGATACATATAACAATAACATTCTAACAAATGTGACGCGAAAAATTAATACATATGACAATAACAATCTAATGTTTATAGAACATTTTTTATATATAGACTAGTGAAATTGTACGAAATCATAGTCAAAGACGTAGTAAAAAATATACAAAATCATAGTCGACTTACAAGCTTTTATTGAGATTATAAAAAAATATTACTAAAATGAAAGGGAAATCACAAGTCACATCAGAGGAAATCGCAAATCGCCGGTGGCTTTTAGCCATTTGCAATGTAAAAAAACTCATGATTTGTAGCGCCTAAATTGCATCCTTACACACGAGATCACACTCGGAAAGTCTGAAATTGCAGTTGCATGGTATGAAATTGCAGCTGGAGAGGCCGATTTCGATGATAATCGTCTGTGAAATTAGTGGTTATTTTTCGAAAAACGACAATCTTTTCTATTTTTTGAAAAGTCATTAAGGTATTTGGTATATCTGTAAATTTCTCTAAAACTAAACTCTCGACAATTGCATAATCACCCGGACAACCCTCACCTTTACACAATTCGTATTTTGATCACCTTAGTTGAAAAGAGTACTTGGAAGATAACACTCCATAGAACCAAAAAGGTCAATCAATCGTCAATGGTCAATGGGAATAGTCAGATTTTGCAACCAAATGGTGGAATCACTAGAGCTACAAAAGTGAAGCTCCCATTTGTTATTAACTCTAGAGCTTTAGTGCTTGTATTAGGTATTTATAAAAGTAGAATAAAAATCCCAAGAAAGTGCTAGTTCACCAAATCAAGGATTACCAGAAATTCGGACAACATTTTGTGGAACCCTATTTTCTTTTACTCCTTGCGAGACTAAATGAAAAGTCAGGAAAAGAGAACCAATCAAATATATGTGAGATTTTCAAATATCAGTATCATCAAAGTATGTTGATATGAATTATAATTCTTACAATATATCTCGTGAATTTGATATTGTATGATAAACAATGTATTACAAAAAATACATCATGATTATTGCATGATACATCCTCCAGAATCTTGTCCTCTTCGAACATTCCCATAAGCTGATAATTCAAGAAGATCCATATCACGCCCTACAATTTTTTTTCATCAAAAATAATGTCAATTTCAATCTTTTACCTTTTCTTTTAGTGGTAAATGATTAAGCAAACTATAGCGGTTAACATTGCACCTGAAACCCGACAGTAAGAGCTTTTTTGAATAAGATCCGCTCTAGACATCTCGGTACGGTTCCCCTTGGATCGATTAACCGTTGCCTACAAACACAACATTAATTAATACTGTGTTTGGCAGACCAGCTGAAAAGTCAGCTTTTACCTGAAAAGCTACTTTTTAGCTGAAAAACTAGCTTTTGCGTGATTAGCTAGCTGGTAGCTGATAAAGTAATAGTGTTTGATAAAAACTAGCTAATAAGCGCCAAACACAGTTTAACGGTTGTTTGATAGTTGTTGATTGAGTCAGACACAACCTCTTATCAGACCTAGTAAAAGGCATATCAGAGGCTTCTTTTAACTGTGATATCAAACAGTCTGAATCTGACCGAAGCATACTCAACCTCTTACTAGACCCGGTAAGAGGCATATCAAACAGCCCCTAACTGTTTAAATTATAAGTGATAATGATTTTTTGTTACCTGTAAAACTTGACAATTTTCCAGTGTGCTTTTGCCACCCTGAAAGGTCGTTTTCAAACAAAAACACATGTGAGATTATCTCAAAAGCTTTAAAAAGATAGGTAAATTAGATAACTCTTTGTGAAACCCATAAAAAATACAGTAAATAATTAGATTTGTTTATTCTCATTAAAATTATACCGAGTCTTTTAGTGTTAATTAATTAAGATGACTTGTGTTGTTATTTAATAGCTTGAAGGATTGAAGTGAATTGCATTGTTTATCAATTGATGACTTGTTTTTTATTGAGTTGGTAATTCATAATTGGAGGTTAAGTTGAAATTTTTATTGATATGAATAGGGTCTTTGACCAAAAATTTAAACCCTAAAATTTCAAAGGTTGTTTGGGGGGGATTCAAACTTAAGGTTTTTAAGGAGGAACTAATTATGAAGATTGAGTATAATATTTTGGAAATCATTCATTGTTCTGTTAAGCTATTTTGACTTTTTGAAGCTATGAACTTTGACTTTTTGAGTTTTGAAGGTAATTATGAAGATTGAGTATAATATTTTGAAACATATCAAGTTTTTTTTATTAATTTTGACCTACATTTTCATCTGTGGGAAGGGGTGTTAAACAAACATACTCCAAGAGACAAAGAAAAGGTTGACTAAACTTCAGTTCAAATTTACTATACAGATTCGCATTGTCAAACAAATTGTATTAGGTCATACAAGAATTGAAAAAAGCAGCAGACGCTGTTAACAACGTGAAAAATTTAGACTTTGAAATTCACAGAGAGATTATCATATTATAAGAAATGAAAGCGTGAATTATTATCAATTTGAAGCAAATCATTTTAATTCATGATTTCACACAATAATTAGAGTAATTAATTACCTTAGAGTAAGGAAGAATGTGGTCGTAATCATGGCAGAGACAACCAGGACAACCAACGAGCTTACGAAAAATAGTGTTGCCAAGAGGGTCTCGACGCCATCGATCTGGATCCCTTCCTTTGACTTTCTCGGCTTTCTCCCAGCATTGCTGCTTTACACTGTAGGGAAAACTCCTAGGGTTTGAGAATTTGTCTTGTGGAGAGATAGTTAGGTCATGGAGGTAAGTAAGGTCGTCGTCTCCGGTGACAAATTGCGCGTCTATGATAGAGGCGGAAGGAGGGGAACCAGAACTGCTGGATGACGTTGTTGGTGCCGGTCCGGATGAGGTGGTGGGGGAACGGTGGTTTCTCGTCGGAGACGATGAGTAACTCCTACGTTTACCCTTGTTTCTTGAATTCATCTTCTTTGCGTGGTAGTTTTCGTGCCCTAGTCTATGGCTACTGGTAGTGTGGCGGTGTACATTTTTAATACATTTAAAAATTCTGGCTTTAGTCAATTTACGAAATTATGACCCACGGGAATGGGTGTGATATATTTTTTTATGTAAATGATTAAATTTTGGATAACATGTAATTTTTTTGGAAACGGCAAACTATATTATAACCACGGCTAAGAAAGAAACTCATCCAGTCAACAGAAAACCGGCAATAACACCAATCAACCCAATTACAATTTCACAACCGCCCTGAATATTTAACCTAATTAAAAATTAAAGAAATCACCTTGCCCACCACCTTATGCGGATAGGAGCACCTTTTGTTGAACAATTTTTCGTTTCGTGCCTTCCATATGCACCAAAACAACCCGTATAAGATGGCGATGAAGATTTTTCGTTTTTTTGGATAATTGCCCCAATTCGCTGCAAACGTAATAACCTCACTGGTGGATTCAAAAACTTGAAACAGTATATGACACCACCTTAAAATTTGAGATAGCACCTCTTGAACAAACGCACAACCTGCAAAAATATGCTTTGAATCTTCAGGCCTCACATCACACCACAAGCAACCCATATTCTGAATGCTCACTCCTCTTTGAGCAAGAGCCACAGCAGTGGGTATCCTTTTCGATGCAGGCTCTCCATATGAAACCGATAACCTTCAAAGGAACGAGTTGCAACCAAATTGTGACATTCAACATTGATAATTAATCTGGTGAAAAATTTATTAATAAAATGAGTGATATAGTTTCAATGTAAATGTTTAAATTTTGGATAATATAGTTAATCTGGTGAAAATTATTTGGTTGGAGGCAGTGGTGACACACTCCCTCATAAAACCGCAGTGTCACGTATGTGACACATCAATAATTAGGTTATGGGGTATGGGGGTGTTTCTGCACGTAAACATCTATGTGGAGGGGATGTTCACGCGTGAACACCACACTTAATAGGTGTAAATGTGGTGAGGATTAAAACTGGTCACGAGTTCTCACAACCAATGAAAAAGATTTCTCCCGAATCACTCATTAACTTCTCTCTATCTCTATTTTCCTTTTCTCTTTCTCTCTTGTTCACTAGTTGTTCATCAGTGAACACCATCCCAAACACTAGTGAATGTAATGTGGAATCAATTATACGCGTCAACATACCCCATAGCCTTACCACAAAAGTGAGGTTTCATGCCACATCCAAGGAGTGGTGCCACATTCAATTTTTTTTTGAATAATTAAAATTTTTATTTTTAATCAAAAACAAAATGTTTCATTAATTTAAAAAAAAAACATTACATTGCGTCACTTAAAAAAATCACATTAAAAAAACCTAGAAACTTAGGAAAAAAAATAGAAAATAAAATAAATAAATAAATAAACCCAAACGAACTACATGAAATCGTCCTCTGAGAACTCATCTTTCAGGTCATCTAAGGGATGTTTTTATAATTTTTCTAGAGAGGAAATGTAGTAGAAAAATAAAAAAAAATTGTAAATGTTTGAGAGGTTTAAATAAAAATGTTTAAAGGTTAAAAAGGAAAAAAAAAGCATTTTTTTTTAAATCCGACCGTTCAACAGCCAATTGGAATGAAAATCGGAAAAGAAGAGCGCTCCCTTGGGGTACCGTAGTGCGGCCTCCACCACACCCAAACCGTAGTGGAGGGGCGGTGTTTGCGATGATGTGGCATGGATGGTGCGGCCTCTACCGTAACCACTCTCCTTGGTCTTATATAAATTACACGAGCAATTCAATTAAACAATTAGAAATTAATCAATGTGATTTTTTAAAACAATGTTTAGTCCAATAATTTTCTAGAATTTTTACAAAAAAAAATAAAAAAATCGTTTTCCAAAATTACAAAAACTTAAATTTTTTTAAAAAACCGACAATTATTGTTCTCCGTGTTTCACTAATTCTAAATTTTTTGCTAAAACATAAAAATGGAAAACTGTTTTTCGTAAATTAAAGTGTTTCGTGTTGTACGAACTTTTCAAACTTGTTTGTTATACCCATATATATTCATTAAGTTCAAGGAAAATGAAGTATACGATCTTATATTAGACATCCAAATTTTTTATAATAATCGACATCATCCTACTTCACCCATATTTTCTTAGACGATACGTAAAGAGTTATCGTCTAGCCCCACTGTCATTGTTTTTGTCCGCCGAAAATTGGCCTTTACTTGGAAATTTTCTTGGGTGCATTCATATATACATTTATTATTCTGTAGTATTTAAGGTATGAACTAATTTATTATTGTCATCTTTAACAAGGAGGAACAAATATTGATGTTTACCACCAATAGAGTATTTTAAAATAATCATATTATATTTACATTATTTTATGTCTTAAAAACTCTACATTATTTTACAAATTAAGTCATTTCCTAGATTTTTCTTGAAAAAATGGTGGTTGAGCTTATTTTGTCCTACGCGATATCTCTTTTCTTCTCATCAAGTAGAAAGTACTACACTTTTAATCCTACAATATTTACAACTAGATCACAAAGACAGTCTATTGGTAGGATTTCAACCTTTTTGAGTAATTATTTGGAAAAATCTCATGATGGAAGAGAACAAGAAAGTTCTTAACGGATAAGACCCAATTTACACATCCAATGACATAAAATTCGTAAACAACTTTGAGGTTTAGTTTTAGTTTTAGATTTAGTTTTTTTTTGTTTTTTTTTTTTTGAGGTTTAGTTAGATGTTGTAATCGTGTCGCATTTAGATTAGTAGGTTAGAAAACATGACTCGGATATAATTAAATGTATCATGTGGTTCAACACTAACACATATCTGCAAAACACAGATAACCCATTCTAGTCCGTTCAATTATACAAGTTGGCGGGTAATAACCGTGTTTAAGAGTCATATTCGAGTTCATGGGTCATAACCGTGTTTACGGGTCATAATCGGGTATGTCGGTCATCATCATTTAAGATCATTTATAAAGTTATTTGCATTAATTTTTTTAGTATTCACAAGAAAAGTGTAGGAGATCTCATTATCTTATTTTAACAATAGTTAGGAGCCATGGAATGTGGAAAAGGTTAGGATTTAGGGCATTACAGATTCAAAACGTTGGAAAAAATGAGACTAAGAGTTAAAAACATGTTGATTGGATGTTAGATGAGATTTAGTTTTAGGGCTACACAGATTTGGCGCATCACATATTCAAAAATGTCAAAAATATTTTTTAACCTAATATAATTCAACTGGTTGGCGGGTCGACCCACCAACATGCCTATCAACTTGAAGACAGCCTATACAAGTAACTCAGGTTAACTCGAATTGACCTAAACATGTTTAAGGTTAACATAATCGTGTTTATTTATGTGTAAGGTGCGTGTAGTGTCAAAAATTACCACCCAAAGTTAGTATCAGATTAAGAGGTTTTTGTGTATGTCTGTATACACAAAGTATCATAACATAAAAATGGACATGATTACATGTGTGGTCCCCTAACGTTTAGGGTTTATTACACTGTTTATCCAACTATGAACTTTGTTGCAACATTGGCCCTTATTTCAAACTATATTTGGTAGGATAGTCTCTTGCCTTAACGCCGTTACTTAGCTTATTTACATCTTTTTGCCAATGCATTTTCCCCCTATTTCCTAGGCTACTTTTTTTTTTCTTAGGTTACTTAAAGGACCAAAAGTCTAATATAACCATATTAATATCATCGAATTGCTAACTTAAGTATTATCTAAATGTAATCTATATGCTAACATAACTATAATCTAAATGGTAATTAAGGATAATGTATTCTAAAGCTAATAAATAGAAGCAAGATATCTCTAATTTTTATACATGAATAATGATCATAGTAACATCAAACAAATGATGAATCTACAAGCTTCAATTAATAAAGGTTGGATGCATATATATATATATATATATATATATATATATATATATATATATATATATATATATATATATATATAATTCAAAGTAAATCTAAAATTGATTAACATTTGTAGAAACTTCAAAGCTCATTACATTTAATCATTATCCATTCATTACAACAAGCACATAATCATCCATGACATACATCCAACTCATCTCAACTCTAACATCCGCTTACCAAAATTACTAATCACTACAACCATCCACAACTATCCTAGTTAACCAACATCACCCTTACAAACAATCTCCAACATAAATAACTCAACTAGCCGTCATCTCAAAATCCTCACAACCACCTTTACCATCAACAACAAGCTTCTCTGTTCTATATTTCCCTACTCCATATTTCCATGTTCCTGACCCGTCGTCTAATGCATGCCTTTTTCCACACTACCCTTCTCTATTAGAGTTGGAATTCTCAAAGTCTTGATCAAACTGTCCTCCTTCATACAAAACAATGGTTTGGGATTCGTAACAACATGTCATCCTTCATACACCATATTGATTAGGGAGATGCCAGCTTCATCATTAAATGTACTCCATCTTCATATTCCACTACTAGGAAATGTCTTGCTTAGTGTATGTTTGGTGCAACAAACTAAGACATTAAGATGATGTATTCATCATCTCTAGGGCCATTAGGCCACTGCCTAGATCAACGAGGGACATCAAGAAATAGTGATAAACAGAGATAACTTCATCATACTTGAGTCCCCTATAAATGAAACAACGGTGGGAGAAATATAGAGATACATTGGCAAAAAGAGGAAAATACCAATGCACTTGAGGGTTCTTGACGAAAGCAAAGTAACTGGTGTTAGGGCAAGGGACTAAACTTGCTAATATAGTTTGAAATATGGACCAATGTTGCAACAAAGTTCATAGTTGGACGAACACTGCAATAAACTTTAGGGAGCAAGTATGTAATTTTGTCTAGAAAAAACTAAGATATAGTACCGATAAACTTCTAAATTTTTTATTTAAATAAATATATAATTAATTTATAATTCATCTCAGAATTATTTATATGGACCATCCTCTCGACATGGGAGCCTTATTCTTAAAGTTATTGTCCACGATATTACCAGGAAGCTCTCCTTCAATAAATTGGTTGTGACGTCCACGAAAATGTCGCTTTCTATCAGTTTCATGATCACATTATATGAATTTCTTCTTAGTTTCCTTTCTTTAACTTTCCTACAAAAGCCAACGGATTTTATGTTTAGTTTCATCATCCATCGACTTCTACTAACAACTTGGAATAAGAAACTAAACAATGATCTTTATGTATCTATTCATATCTCTCATGTTTACAGAATGGTTTATCTTATTACATGACTTGTATTCGCTGTTTGCCCACCCTCTTTTTCAGTTTATCTTTGCTACACCGGCCACCCCTTGCATGGCGGCTCAACCACGCGAAGAAGCCCGTGCCACTGAGCCATGCCATGTGGAGAATGGCCCAGGTAAGAAGAAGGAGTTGGGAGTGAACCCCAAGGTTATGATGGAAAGATTAGGAACGTTTTGGGATCCTGATGATCAAAGGGAAAGTCTTGAGTTAGATGAGATGGTGAATCTGTTCGTTGGTGATGAGCCAAGCTTTGATGAAGTAAAAGAGGCGTTTGGCGTGTATGATAAGAACAACGATGGGTACATAGATGCAAAAGAGCTTCAGAATGTACTTTCTAATATGGGGTTTTTACACATATCTGAAAGTGACTGTGAACGGATGATCACTGGATATGATGTTGACAAAGATGGTAAGATTGGCTTTCGGGAATTTTTGAAAGTCGTGGAAGATGGCTTTTGTTAGTCTTGAAATAGCGTATCACTCCGTCACTTGGTATCATTTCTATACCTTTTTTTGAAATAAGTATTTGGTTGTAGTGTGGTTCGTATGTTATGTACATATATCGGCTTTCTATTATTTTTGCGCAATTTGTGTTCAATAGAATTAGATCATCACCAAAAACATTGACTTTCTAATGGCGTTTTCATTACAATTGATAGCTCTAGAACATACATGCCGGCTTAATATCTAAAAGATTGTTTATGTGACTCATTGTATTAAGAGGACCTTCTTGGCTTCATAGCCAAGTTTTCTCAAAATAGGGTGACAAAGCCAAGTTCATGTTGTTTAAGCACCAATGTTATATCCGATGCTAAATATAACCATTGGCATTTCACAGCACTAATTAATAAACATTTTGCAAAAAGTCTAGCTTATACTAGTTTTTTTTATAGAACCAATATCAAATGGATTTCCCATATAATTCGAGATCAGTTAGTTTCATTTGCAGTATAGAGATTTTAAGATTTATTGAATATTAATTATATACAGTTTAAAAAAATACTCGTATTTTTACTACATCATGTCAATGATTCCTTTAGAAATTAGAATGATGCTTGAAATGGTAAAGATGCCACTTCACATCCAGGCCGACTCAAAATAATTAACATAAATAGGCGACATGGAAACAATGATGGACTTTGGTGAGGAAGCATGCCTTTTCTTTTAAACATTTTATTTAAATAAATTTATAACTCAACATCAAATTTTACTTAAAATATTATAATTAATTTTTTATTACTATCTAACTATCTATGACAAAAGCAAATACATTTTGTTTAAACAAAATATTCTTATAAATATTAAACTGATAACTATATTTTTAAGTTGATTTTATAACTAATCAAATATAGTTTTGAATTTCAATAAATAAAAACATAGTTATTAGTTATTATATCACGATCTAAACATTCAAGATTTCGTTTAATATTAAGGCTCTAAATGAATCAAACAGATACAAATATCGACTTGTTCATGTTTGTTTAAAAAAAAAAACAAAGATGAACAAATAAACACATGTTTCCTTGTTCATAATTGTTCATTTAACATAATATTTGGTTCATGTTCGTTCGTTTATGTTTTTTAAGATGCTAAACAAATTTAATACAAAAACAGACCTGAAATTCCCACTAGAATGAACATAAACCGAACATAGAACATAAACAAATATAAATGAACAAAAACAAACATAAATGAATATAAACATTCAATTAACCTTAAAATTTGATCGTGAACATTTCTAATACGTTGATTGTATTTAGTGGTGTCACTAGTGATATTTTTACTAAAAGTTATAAAACTTGAACAACACTTAAGGTGGAGATCGGCGAAATAGTTATGTCGAAGGAGTGGTAACATGAAAGTGAAGAAAAACGAGAATCCTAACCCGTGCCTCGCTCTCTCTTTCTCTCCATTTCTCTGGTCTCTCTCTCTATCTCTCTCTCTCTTCTTTTTTTTACCATTGACCAGTCATAAATTCATTTCCTTTAACCTTTTACCAAATATAAATACTCATCTCCACCTTTTAAAAAATCACACATTCTTCAATTTCATTCCATTTTTCTTTGGTTTCATTCATTCTCTCTCCAATTCCATTCAAATTTAATCAAATTAAAATCAAAATGGATTCTCTTGGAAAATCCAGACAATGAGGTTCTAGCCAAAGACAACTGACGAAACGAAAATGATCCTAAAGGTTTTCCATTTTCCATTTAGGAAATCCAAAACCCAAAGTAACTACAAAATTGACACTATCAACACCAATATAACATACTCTTGATGCAAAAATCCTATAACCAATTTCATCTTCCGCTAGATAATATTGGTTATCAACAATAATATATGTAGTATTCTCAATCAGTTATAAAATCCCAATACCAATATCCCCCCCCCCCCCTGATATCTCGTAATTTCTGGAACGACAAAACTAAGAATTTGAAGAATCCAGTGATGATCCTATTCCGGTCCAAGATGAATAAACAAGTGAGACCTCAAACCTGTCGTCGAGACCACACAAGATTATACAAATCGACATAAGTCAAAGACATGGAGCGACAAAGAAGAGGTGGATTTGGTTAAAACATATATCAATGTTTCTAAAGATAAGGAACATGAAAATCAACAACAGTGAAATGCATTTTGGGAGCATGTTCTAGTACATTTTAATGCTCAAGTGGGAGGTTCGATTCACACAAGGCACCAAATGAATTAAAAATGTTATAAGCTCCAAAAAAATGTAACGATTTCAATCACATCTACAACTGAAACCTGAGCAGTCTGGCTAGTGGGACATCAAAGGTTGATGTTTTAAAATCGACACAAAGCGAGTACATGGGGGGTGGTTAATAAAATGAAAGATTTTCTCCATGAAGTAGCTTAGTATATTCTAAAATTTCATGAAAAATGGTTGTGCATCAAAAAATCAAGTGAAAACTCCCGCCTCCTCATCAAAACGAACACATTTTTTTCATCTAATGCCTATACAACCTCTTCCAATGCACAATTTGCACCAAGACCCAAAAGTGGTTCATGTTGTTGACACACTGCCTCATAGACTATGGAAATTAAAGAGAATGACATTGACGTTGTAACATCCCAAAAATACGAAGGTACAAATTTCAAGTTTAGAACATTAAAAACACTCATTTATCTTCTATTTAAACATTTAGAAGTATTTACAAATAAAACAATTATCAGAGTACACTCCTAAGATCACAAGTTGCAGAAAACACGGGTGTATGTGCTGCGATCAAGCCGGACCCTTCCCTTTCGAACCGGAAGTACCTGAAACCATAAGCCACAAACTATAAGCACAAAGCTTAGTGAGTTCCCAAAAATACCACATACAGCACAACACAACTGGACAACTATGGATTATCAGCAACCCTGGGGACTATCAGCAGTCCCAGTGGCTAACAGCACGACCAGTGGGTCATCAGCAACCCTGGAGACTATCACCAGTCTCAATTACATATAAACAACATAACACGATAATAACAGCTAGACCCAGCTGGTTATCACAAATACAAATATTCTACCACACATGCACATACAAACATGCGAGAGTCACAAAGATAGCTAGCATCCTACATACATAATTTATTGAGTCGGCATTGGTGCCTTCGACTCACGAACACCGGGAGAAGACTCACCTCGACAGTTGAACCCACGAATAAGTTTCTGACTGCAGATCCACTAGAATCCCCGCGCTATCAAACATGAATAACATTCAATTAACATTTGAGTTCCAATTCAAATCCAATAATCCATATATGGGGTAAAAGACCATTTTACCTCTCATCTAGTTTGGTCCAAAAATAAGGCCCAAACTTCCAATCAAAAGGCCCACAAACCAAATAATCAACCAAAACCCACTTACATCCTAGTTTTCTAAATTAGGCCCAAACCCTTACATGAGCCTTACCTAAATCCCCATTAACTTTTCCTCAATCCAAAACACTTTTTCTCAGATGGCCCAACAAAACCCCAAGCAACCAAACCCCAACAGATAGCCCAAACCGAAGCCCAAACATGTGAGGCCCAATAGACCGAGTACACGGGGCGTACAGGCACGTACGCACAACGTACTTGCTTGGAGGTTATGTGTACCTGCTTGTATGCCCAACGTACTCACCCTTATTCAACCCAAACCCGATTTTCACTTAACCCATTAAGACAAAATTTTCCAAACCATAGATCTGACCTCCTTGAGCTGAAATAGCATGTAAAATTGCCAACTTTACATTCATACATGACTACAAGAAGCTCTTAAGATAAAAAGGGACTTAATGGTTAACTTAATGCATGCATGACTCCATAATACACAAAAAACTTGCACCTTTATGCTCAAAGGTACCAAAACAAGCTCAGATCTGAAAGGATGAACCCTTAAACATCCTAAATCATCGATAATCTCAAAAAGAAGACCAAAACCATAATAAACTAGCGATGAAGAGATCTAATTATACATAAGCCATGTTGCAAACTTGTTACCTCAAAAAAGATTCCCCTAAAGATGATGATTCTGGATCCAAAGTCCCTCCACCAAGCCAAACAACTTCATGCTTCTCTTCTCTCCTTCCCAAGGGAAAAAATGTGCTCCAAAACCTTCTAATAGCTCAAGAACACCACCTAGAGGCTACAAGGTCGATTTAGGATTTTTAGAAGGTGGAGGCTGAATTAGAAATGAGGGATAGGGTACATCCTTAAAAATTAGGGTTTCAAAATGGCCCTCGTATGCCCAGCGTACTCCTCATACGCCCAACGTACGAGGTCTCGCACTCCGATCTCAGCCTTGCACTATGCTACGCGTATTCTCCACTACACCTCGCATAACCACCTTCGCATCAGTAAGCCCTACGTACCTCCTTGGTAGGCCCCGCGTACTAGGGTTTTCCCCAAACCCTAAGTCCTTCCGAAGGCCATAACTTGTTCGATACAACTCTGATTCCAAACAACCTTATATCCATGAAAAGGTATCGAGAAGCTCTACCCTATCATCAACTCATATGTGACAACCCGGAAATTTTTTGATTTTTAAAGCCCAATCAATCAACTCAACTTAGTGTCAAACTCATTGGTACTGAGGTCTAGCCCGGTTAAAGGTCATTCTAAGGAGTTTTAAGCCTAAAACACTTAAGGAATAAGTGTTAGAAAGTACCTGCTAGAACCACAGTATAGCACATCGAACCTTAACCTCATCATAAGGAGTTCACGACCACAAAGCAATGAGTTTACGGCCGTAAACTCATGTGGCCGTAAACTCATGAGTATATATGTGATACTTGGTCATTTCTAGTCATTTCTTGCATTTAAACCCCAAGAACTCGAATTCTCTCTCAAGTATCATCAAGATTTCCTTCCTAGATCTTCAAAAGATGTAAGTATTCTTCCTAGATTTGTTGATACATCTCTTAATCTAGTATCCTTCCATGATTTCATCCATGGAAATCATTCTTTTCTTA